ATCTCCGAAAATTCCCAATCTAACAGTGAGAAAAGCGCTTCTGAAATTATGACCCACAATGAATGGCTTTGGTTTCCATGATGACGAATTGAGTCCTCTCAATTTTATCTTTTCATTTCCAGTCCATTCCATCTCGTAGAGGAATCTCGTGTCGGTTAGTGGCGAGCTAATGTGGCTCATCCGCAGGTGGTGGATAAGGGGTTAATCGCAGAGAGGAAGCGACCTTTAGCTTCTCTAAGACGAAGAAAGATCCAGAGGGTTGGAGTCCTTGTTTCTGCCGCGTTGATTTGGCACATATTTTCTGTATTTGCTAGGCGTATTCATTCATGCGTGTGTGGGTGCGTTCTTGCTCATGCGGATTGTATTCTACGAGTTATTTCGGCCAGAAGCCTGCGGTCAAGTGACAGGGAACTATAATGGGAGGCGGTTAGGAGTTGCCTCCAACAAATAAGCTCAATTTCTACTCCGGGAGAGACTGGCAAGCTACCCGTAAGCATACCCAGCCCGCAGATTCAGAGTTCAGCAAGGTATGTGTGGGTATCAAAAAGCTAAACACAGTAAAATAAAGAGGCCTCATTTCTCTGATCAAGAAAGACCCCAATTTCGCAGCGTTGGGCAGGACGAGTACGGAGAGGCTGCTAAAAGTTCAGAGCCATTCAAACTGCTTAAATTACAAAGGACTAAGGTGACGGTCTTTACTTACAATGTAGGCACATTTGTATCTGAGTCCTCGAAAGAAGACCTGATCATGCAAGCGAGAAAGACAAGGTACGACGTCGTCGGACTGGCCGAGAAGGGACGACGCCACGAATTCCACGGCGACTGTGAAACCGGAGAAGAACTTTTCTTCGGAACATGCGGCAGCAGAGTCGGCGGCGTTGGCGTTCTCGTCAGCACGTCATGATGTCCAATTTCTAACTCTTATTCTCATTCTCTGTTGAAGTCATAAACATCATACCGAAATCGACTTACTTCACAAAATTTCTAAGAATCCTAAAATTTTGTATAGATTTTAAATTCTTTTCAACCTGACACTTCTACATTTGGCACACTTTAGATTTCATTTACAGTCGTCCCATATTCCATTGCATCTCGGGCTATTTCTAGGTGACTAGAAATAATTTAGTGTTCCAACTTTGAACAAACATATCTCAGCTTGTAGAGAGCCGTGTCTTGAACTTGGAATAGAGGCCATTAGAATCCGCAGAATCCGCCAATGATGTGCATCTTTTTTATTGCAACAATCAGTAAATTGCTGCCAGACTTGTCTGGGAGGATCGCAACACTGGGTCGATACGTCAGTAGGCCACCGCAAGTCATTGTATAGACCAGATTCATTCACCTCCAAACGATGATTAATAAAGTCGAATGCATGGCGCATCCCTCAGAGACTGATCACGCTGATAGCTTTATCCTTTATCCTTTGTGCAATAAATTTATTAACCGAAGAAACAATAGACGAAACCTGCAGAGTTCCTAGAGAATATGAAAAACGAATGCCTTTGAGGGTGTGGGAATGAAAGCATAACGGGTACGAAGTCCTGGAAGAGCAGTCGAACTGGTTGGTGTATCGCTTTTCTAACCTACGGTAGTGCTGCTACTGACAATTTATCCAAAGCAGTTTGGCTGAGCAGTCCACTCACTGTTGGTGAATGTCGCACGAGGCCCACGGATGAACAATGACAAGGTTTGAAAAATAAAAGGAATATTAGTTCTAGCCAACCGTGACCAAGAAACAGTCTTGGATTCCTTTCCAATGGTATCTTTTTGCAACCCATTGTATTCAACAGTTATTAGAAGTTCATCTAAGTTCCTTTAACTCGAAGTGGGCTGGTCAAGAATACTGCACAAAATTATTTATTACTATTGAGCAGTTTCAGGAGCTCAAACTTAGAGACTTCTTCTAGGATAAATTTCTAGGGACTCATGTTCGCCTTTCCAAGAGCGCAGATATCACTCCTTTTTATCTCATTTCGGCCTTTTTTTGTGAAATTAACTTATGATCCAAATGAGCCAAGGAATGGAAACGGAGCAAAACGAAAGGACAATTTCTGTACGAACTCAAACCTTTACATGAAAAACCGTCAACGATTCTTTGCTTCTAAAGATTCGATGGTGGAGATGAAATTTTTAGAGATGAAGAGGCTGAGACACATTGAGTTAGAAAGAAGAGGAAAAAACTCGCAGAAATGGATGTGTTCTGGCCGATTTAATGGAAAACAAGGAAATTCCCATTGTCTGAAAAAGTCTAAAGAAAAGTCTGCTCTATCCTTCTCAAGCACAATAAAAAGGAATGCACGGATTCAACCAGTTTGTAAAGCCCAATACCCTCTCCGCCCTTCTCTCCGAGGACTTTAGGCTTATAAGGTGACATGCAAAACTACAGAACTTGTCATGAGAAAACATATAAAAACTCAGAGGGTTCAATAACAAACAAGCGTACTATAGAACTGAGTGGGTCTAATTTCATAAGAGAAGATGTAAACGTAAAAGAAATTCTTAAACGAAATTCTGAAAGTTTAGGAGAAAGGAGCACTTCAGTTAATCCATAGTGGACCCTATGTGCACTATGATATAGATTCCCAGTCCAGTGGATTCCACAAGTTTACAAAATTTTGTATATTTATTCAGTGCCTAGTCGAAAGTAGATCGAAATAGGAGGGGTTGGGCCAGAAAGGGAATTTCCTACGATTAATGGCTTCCAAAAACCATTTTCCTGACGAGTTCTTGGACAGGTAATTTGACAAACAAAGAACTGTTACAAAAATGATAAAGCACTCGGCGCTGATCAATCCTTGAGGGATGCACCTTGCATTTAACTTCAATAAGCATTGTGTGAGGTGACTGATTACATATCTGGCCTTTACAATGACTCGTGGTGGTCTACCGAAGTATCGAGCCAGTGCTGCTATACTCCCAGAGAAGTGTGGTACAAATTCGGCGACCCGGAGAGATAGGAGGCTTGGTGGGCTGTGGGTGCGGGGATCGATCCTGTATGTATTGCAGGGCGCCTCCAATCACCGCTCTACAGGCGCCTACTAATTAACCATTACTTCATTTTAATTACCGTGATGGTCATGGTTCTCGCATGAAATGTGCAGGTGTAAGAAATACCAAAATCGAATCAACGTAAGCTGACCAAATCTTCCAAATTCTAGTAGTAAGGCATTTGCATGATGTAAAGCAGTAATACAGTAAATAATAGCACACATTCCATCCACACGCACAGAACGGCAGAGCAGTCTGTTCTGAAATACTGTTCACAACCCCTCAACTCCTCTCGTCACCGAAAGATTAGTGTTTCTTAGCAAAAACCAAGCAAGTCCATAGTGGCCAAAAATAGGCGTCGTCGCGCGGCGGGCAGCGAGATTGGCCGCCGTCGCGCGCGGCCGCTCTTCTGCTCGACATCGCAGCGGTCCTCGGTGGCGGGGACTTCCAGATGTTGCTGCGTTCGTGACACCGGCACCAGTCATCGGAGGCCATCAGGACAACAAGCTGCGGTAGCTTCTGGTGTCTTCATTCGAATCCCTATTGATCTCAGCTGTGAACATCCTCCTGGTACTTGACCACATGAATTCGTTTTGTCACTTGTCCATTCAGATTTTTGTTGCTCTTTTTTCAAAATTCCATGCTTTTTACACGTTTGACGGAAGTGCAAGTCTTACGACGTACCTTAGTATTGTGTGCATGCGATTTGTGAACTAATTGAAATTGATCGTCGTGTCTTCAGTAGGTTATTATGAAATCGAAGGAGACCGACATGCGACTCACGCACGGAGTGGCGCCTGCGGGGCATGTCAAGCCGGGCAAGCGAAATGCGTTGTCGCCGTGAGTGCATCGTCGGCTTCATTTGAGTGTACGCTGGTCTGAATGGCTAGTTTTGATGGCGATTGATGTTAACCGCTGTTATGGCCGAAGGTACTTCTTCCTGCTAGTGCATTGATTAGTGGTTACGTCAATGTCGTGGCCATGAGGGCATTCGCATCTCCATGAGCGTTTCGGTTTGGCTTTCGAACTCTTCCAGCCATTGCTTGCGTTTTCTTCTTATCTTCTCTTCAAAGTCAATCGGAAATGGTGTTTGCTTTTTCACTGTCAAGGTGAATCATCAGATTTTGGTTACTCTTTGTTATCTACCCCATTTCGGTAACAGTACTTTCACACTTTATTGATGGAATAGAATCAAGAGCTAACCAATTGACTCCTAGAGGGCCAAGAATTTCTTTTGGGTTAACCCCGTTTTATTTGGTTAGTTTTTCTTAAAGTGTTCATCAACTGAGTCTGACTTTAGCAGTCTTTATTTTGGCGTAAATCTTTATCTTCCTTCATTTGGTTGAACGTGAGGAGCGAGTGGTTCGTCTCTCCTCTGAAAGTTCTTTACAGTGTAGTTCTTATCGTTTATCTTCGTATTTCTTTGTAAATTTGATGAGTTTCGAAATTTAGCAATTGATATCAGTACGTGAACGTTTGGGCTCGTGTGGCGCAGTAGTTGGAGGCGCTCCGCAACACAGACATGGAACCCATCTTCGCACTCGTAGCTCACCAAGCCTTCCATCCCTCCGGGGTCGGCGAATTAGTGCCAGACTTGTCTGGGTGGGTAGCACAACTCCACTGGCTCGATACATCAGTAGGCTCATCACCACGAATCACTATAAAGGCCAGATATGCATTCAATCACCTCCAATGACACTTAGTGAAGTCGAATGCATGACGCATTCCTCAGGGACTGCTCAACGCCGAGAGCTTTATCTTTTTCTTTTATTATACGTGAATGTTTGTTGTACTTACATCTTGCTTGACTTTTTCAATTTTTCTCATTTTTAAATTCAGTTCCAATTTTTCTCAATCTAAGTTTCATGGGTGGATTGTACCGTGTCCTGGTTTTACTTGAGTTTCCGTTACCCACAGTGCTAGATTTGTTTCCCACACTTGTCTCGCACAGTTCTTAGCACATCACCCCTGTGACTGCAGTTATTTGCCCAGGTGTTCTTCTTCGTTCAGTTATGTGGTCGGCCAGCGACATCCTTCGAAGGCTGATTCCAAGCTGTTCTTGTGGAGCTGAGTACGATCTCCGATTCTGTGCGCCACATATCCTTCCTTGTGCACATACTTTCTGCCTGATGTGCCTAAGTAAAGAGAAGCAGAGGAGCAAGCGAAGGTGAATCTGCAGTTTTTTTTTCATAAATAATAGATTGCCGCTGATGCCAGTTACTTTTCTAAAGCTCAATAGTATGAAATACAACCGGAATCATTTTGACATGTTTAGATGCCCGTTATGTCAAAAGAAGTACTCCAATTTCATATTGAATGCTGCGTTAGCTGGTGCGTGTTTTTTCGTTTAATTCTTTTATTGGGGGGTCAAAGGTTATTCATTTTGCTTTTCATTGTTCTCAGTTTCATCATTTTACATCATGAAATGTAAGCTCTTACAATTCTTGGACAGCTTACAGTTAGGTCCGAAAAAAAATTTGGCTAAAAACTTCAAACGTTCCCTTCGATGTCATTTGGCTCTGCGTTATCCTTGTACTAATTCTGTAGTTGTGACAAAATTGTATAGACATTTCTATCTACTAATTTCTGTTGGTTCTCCGAATATCCATGATCACACTTCATCACGTATTTCACAAAAAAATATTTGAATGTTTATACATCTGCAGAGATGGTTGACCGCATGCGACTACAGCGTGAGTGGTTGGACGAGAAGTCAGGAAAATGTGACGAATGCGACTTACGCCGACCGGTGACCGCGATGAGGCGCTGTCTCACTTGTTTCCGCAGTATTAATAAGCACATGTCTGCAGGCTTGACATTGGTAATTGTACTATCCCTTTATACTATGCGACTTAAACTTTTTCTCCAGAAAACGTTCTCGTTTAACTTTAGTTTCACAGTCATTCCTTCTTTTCACTTACGCTACAATCATTTTTCTCCCTTTAAGGAACCCTTTCAGGATTGTGTGATATGCCTTGAGTGTTGTGTTGGTCGCCATAATGGCCATGATTTGATGGTGCTCTCGTCGAAGCCGTTGCATAGTTCCGCTTGTGGTCCAGCTACACTTCCTCCTCGCCTGGATTCAAAGAGATATTTGCCGTGGAGAATTATGTCGAATCAGATGAAAATATTCAAACAAGGAAAGATCACTGATTGCAGCCTTTGCACATTGTATGTCGATTTACTATTTTTATGTCAGTCCTTGAAAAATAGGTGTGTTGAAATTTTAGACAGGAACGTTGTTCAAAACCAAGTGAGTCAAATGTTGGAATGTCTTCTTATGCTGTTGAGGAGGACTTGGTGTGTGAAACAAGGAGCCCTTTATATTGTATGTTTGTTTATAGCAAATGTTTATCCTTTTTCAGTAATCTACTTATAATGATTATTCATTCTTATTTCCCTCCCAACAGTTTACCGTCTCATCGTGGGAGGTGTTCCTGGGTGTCGGGCTGCAATGTACAACGGGGGATTCATCCCACCGGCAGTCTCTCAAGCTGAAAAGAAATCTGGCGTTCCCATCAAGAAGCCCAGCTAAGAGTAAACCAATGCCAGGATCCACCAACGTCCTGGTATCAAACTAGTCGCATGGTGGCGAATCTGCCCGTGATCCACAAATGCGGCGACTGCCTGTGGTGGTGATGGCCTGTGCCAGCCCTTGGCCAGGCTGGCCACACGACTCCAGGGATTACACAACGGTTCAACTAGTAAAACTTCGAAAATGGAAAAGGTGGTGTAGCCCGCACCCGGTTAGGATGGGTCGTCAAGTATCCAAGTAATCATTCTTATTCAGATTACGTTTCAACATCAGTAAGTGAAAATGTGGCAAACAAAAGCAGTATTTCAACACTACTATGGAACATTGCAAGAACTGCCTTTGGCTCCAGAGCGTCTCTACCCAAAAAGAATGAAACTGTTAAGAAGCCAAAATCACATACCTGGCAGACCAGTGATATATCTTTTGCTACTAGCAAAATTGATGAAGAAGTTCAGTTAATATCTGATCAAATGCACTTTCTATCATTCGTCTTTTGATTTCGTTGTCCTCATCATTACCGTCTATTACAGATTCATCTATCTATCATAAGATTTCACCATATCCTAATGCTAAAAAAACGTCTTCATCAACTTTGTCTTTTGACAACAAAGAGTACGTTTCTTATATATTTCTGACTACACTTTTTATTTATATCGTTCCACTCGACATATTCTTAGAGCCCTAGCATTTTCTTCGGTACATGGGTTTGCGTATGGGCTTGGTTCTCACTTGAGGACGTTGTTTATTAAAGTTGACGTTTTAGCAGTATCACCTTCTTCAGAGCCTGTAAAGGTATATACTTACTTGAATGGCCCGTCCTTCCTCACTAGTTGTGCGGGCGCCAGCATAATTACCATTTTTTGGAGATTTGCTGGCTAAGCCATTGTGGTTCCTTGGAATCCCGAGATCGGCCTGGCCAAAGTCTGCCCCAGGTCGTCACCTCCACAGGCAGTCGCCGCTCTCGTGGACCAGAGGGAGATTTGCCACCATGCGACTTCGATACCAAGATGGTGGCGGATCCTGGTATTGGTTCACTCTTAGCTAGGCTTCCTGATGGAAACGGCGGTCTCCTTCCCAGCTTGGGAAATCCTGCTGAGGTGGATGGGGTGAATCTCCTCGCTGTACATCGCAGTCAGACACCCAGGAACACCTCCCTGCCACGATGAAGCTGTTGGGAGGTAAGGGTATATAAATATATATATATATATATATATATATATACGTATATAAATACATTTATATATATTCCAACTTCTGAAGAAGGCGATAGTGCCGAAACGTCAGCTTTACCGGAATAAACAGTTAACACCTTTTGTTTGCTTTGCTCAACACGATTATAGAGAATTATTTGGTCAGTCCAGAGGTTAATAGGAAGTCAATCGTGGGAATATCTATAATGTTTTTATCTGTTCCACAGTGCCGGTTCAGATAACTAGCGCAGTCGGTATTGCTAGTTTTGAATTGGATCTATGGTTTCAATTTGGCACTCTTTCGATTCACAATGTTTAACTTTCAATAGTTTCCAAAGAATGCTGAGATTTGAGCAAAGCAGATCCTCAAGTGAGCTTCCAATCCACATTTACCCTTTCCGTGAGCTTACGTCCTGTCCACCACTCCAACCAGCTTTTTCTTTCTCTCAACTGTTTTCACTTTGTTGTTACTTTACTCTTTACTCTACTTGTTTCTATTGTTTTCAGAAATCGCTCATGCGATTCCTACTATGTCAACGTGTATAGGAGGCATTCAGGTTGAGAGGACATATCTGCAGGAAGGTTATTGATTGCGTAATAATTCCATCATAGTTTCATCACTAATAATCCCATCATTATTATTCTAGGGTTTATAAACTTTGTAAGCGTTGATCATTTGATGTTTAATTGTCTCATTTATGTAGAGTAATAAGAAGGAAAGCTGATAGCATTACCAAATTTGTCAAGACTGGTAACCCTAAGACCCTAAGCCGACAACAACTCAGTTATTATCGGTTTACTGCTTTGCTTATATAGTCTGCTGATCTTCAACTTTCATATGCATGCGTATTGTCTTTTTATTCTGAAAATAGTAGTATTCAAATAGCACCCATATTTGTTATATGAATTATTTTGAGAAGTCATAGTGGTAGTGTTCTCACTTATCTTTTCATAAACCTTTTAAGTTCACAATGATGTTGAGACAGTTGCAAAATTCTGGATCGCAGGTGTCTACGATAAGGATTCAACCCGGTATTACCCTTTTCAGTGGCTAACGTGTTCACTACCACACTATACGCGCTTTCTTTTTGATGATTTGTGCTCCTCAGATCAATCCCGTTGACGGTTGATTGTTGATAGCATTGTTAAATGAAAAACTAGCCGAGAGGAAAGTGAGGCTTAGGACCCGCATGGTGTGGTGGTGAACACGTTAAAACCTGGAATGGATAATAGCTGGTTCGATCTCCATCGCAGACACCTGCGGTCCGGAGTTTTGCAAATATCTCGGCATCATCGTGGTTATATTTCACATCATACTCTGATATGAAAGAGCATTAATAAAACTGACTAACTTGTTTTAAATTCATTTGATAGCACTGCAAAACACAATGTTATTCTCAATATTGATCGATGAGATGCCATATTTGAAAGAGGGCGTAGTAAGAAAAAGTAGACCTGAGGAATGAACTTAGTGTTACAAAACAAAGCGGGCCAAAATTCAGTTAACGTCTATGTCACTTCATTGAGAAGTCTCATATGTACAGTTGGCAGGTGTCTCCGTCAAAGCAAACAACCAGCTTTCATAGGATTTAGTCAAATTCATGAAGAATGTTTTCTTGACTTTGATTATTTGACTATATCTGCAAAATTATCGTGCTGAAAGGTATTCTTTGTTAGCGTAATTTATGAGATTTGAATTAGGTTTAACAAATGGTCAACGACGATTCTGTTCCAAGCGCTTACGCGGTTGGCTATGCATCGGTCATACTGGCCAAAATAGCCCACCATTTTTTGTGCTCCAGTAACCCAATTTGGCGTTCTCCATTTGTGTGGTGTTTTTCACAACCTAGCCGTCTTCTATGTTCTTCTATGTATCTTCCCATACTTTTGGAACATGTCAAACCTGTGCGCATAATGGGGAAAAAGTGCCCCACCATATTGCCAGATTATTGACTATTATTGCCACGGTTTTGTATAATATTATACACAAGGCTATATTTGGTGTTTTTTTTGTAAGAGAACGATGCGAGTACTCAGTGCGCAGTCATCAATATGTGTCTTTGCAGAGATTATATAAATTCACATCTTGCTCTTACAACCTTCCACTGATGTTATAAATGTTGAAAATAAAAATATTCGTTGCATTTGTTTCGTCTAGTCCTTGCCTGCCTAGCATGCACTACCAGCAATCGTGGTGTTGTAGCATTTACCTACTTTCTTACAACATCTAGCAGCACATATCCTTCGATTCTTGACAGCCATCTTTTAGGACGTGGCCACATGAGGGTGTAGACACTACTCATTTCGTTTGAATCACACTCGAATAGGCTTACGCCTCGTGATCACGTATTTGTTCGTTCTATATATTGTCACAGTTTGTTTTCTTTTGCAATGGGTGTACCGGCAGTATGCACAATTTCTTTGGACTAGTTCGACTAGAGGACTGATCTTGCAGCTGCCGTTTCTTTCACCAGGTCGTGTATTCCGACGAGCACAAGTAGAAGTGACTCGGCAGATTTCTGGACTTGTCTCTTGGCGTGAATTGGGAATAAAGAGGATGGCTTGTGTAGACAGTTGCATAGTACCATTGATATCTAAACCATGATGGTATAATATTTACCATATTATATCACAGACAATGAACTTTATTGGTCTATTCAGGTCCTTCACCATCATGGTCATGACCCTTTCATCCTTTTGGACTTACTATGACGACTATATTTTTATTATGGATTATATACTTACCACCTAAGGAAGAAAGCAACGTGGTTGGATAGTGTGCGAATTTTTCCGCTGCGCACAACCGTTGGAAATGTTTGTAGAATAGGAAACAATCTTACAAGATCTTAAGATACGTAGGAGGAACATGAAATGAAACGGAATATTTCCACCTCTTCAAAAGTGTTAGTTCTCATGACTTATTCTTCTGCTATCCGTATTTTCTCTGCCTTCCTCCACACATTTCACATCGTTTAACCACTGGTAGAACAAGGAGGTTCTTCAATTCACGAGTAGTTTTTCGAAAATAAAGCTTGATTGGTCTACTGCAGACGTGAATCGTGGTCGAAGAACTCATTTTGTGAAGAAATTCATTGTTATTTGCAGTGATGGTAATTCAGAGTGATTTTATGGAGTCAGTGGGTATGGCACATCCAGAAAACACCACGATATACTTCGCATGCTCTGCAGAAAGCTAACGACGTTTCCATCAGGAAGCGTAGCGAAGAATAAAGCAATATCAGGAATCGCCGCCGTCCTAGTATCACATGATTGTAACTCTCCCACTGATGCACGAGAGCCGCGACAGTCTGTGGTGGTGACGATCCGGGGCAGACTTTGGCCAGGCTGACGTCAGGACCCTAGGAACCACGATGGCTAAACCAGCAAAACTCCGGAAAAACGGAGGATGACGGGCCATCCAAGTATCCATGTAAGTAGGTAAGGTCTATAGAATCTTACTAAAGCCCGATAGCAGTGTTCGTGTATCTTGGACAAGTTTTTTTTTCATCACACAACAGAGCACGATTTGTTCGAGAGGTGCATAAAAATATTAAGGACGTGTAAGGTATGGTAAACCCAGAAATTACCAATGAGGATGACAGAAAACTGCAACGAAAAATGAAACAAAAATGGAGGGTCATTTGCTGTTAGCAC